CCAGGTGTTTATCTTTGCCTTCACTATCACTGCTTTGGGTGACGTGTCTGTAAAGATGTCTTTGAGGTGCATGTCATGTAAGGTTTCGTCTGTATTTCCTTCTATGTATTTTAAGGTTTCAGGTCTTATGTCTAGTTCTTTAATCCATTTTGAATTGGTTTTTGTGCATGGTGTGAGGTAGTAGTCAAGCTTCATTCTTTTGCATGTAGCGACGCAGTTTTCCCAGCACCATTTATTCAGCAAACTTTCTTTAAATGAGAAAGTTTTCTTTAAAAAAAAAATATTTATTTATTTATACAAGCACTGGGTCCAGTCAGAAGCGCAGGAGGGTGAGAGAATTCACCAGAACCGGAGCAGGGAACAGAACAGGCAGAAGGACCGATGTACACTGCTGAGGGGAGCAGCGGGTGGCAGGAGAGGTCTGCGCACCATGTGGGACCCTCGCCAGTCGGCCGGGGATCGAACCGGCGCTGCAGAGGCTGCGGGCAGCTTCGCAACCCAGCGCTCAACTGCTGCGCCACCGGGGAGGCCGGAGAAAGTATTCTTAACAAAAATAACATTTCTGAAAATAATCAGGCCAATGAGAAGAGTGGATCTTTCGCATTTTTTTATTTTTGCAATTGTCTTTCTTGTCTGTCTCATTAGAAGACCTTTGGATTTTCTTCATATTTTCTTCTCCGTTTAGTCTGTTGTTCTGGTTGAAGTCTATGAAAAAATACACACTGCCTTACTATAACTATGCAGACACTGCCTTACACAAATATGTTGAAGTAGTGTTTCCAGACAATTTGGAATATTCCACTTTGATACTACGTTAAAACTATACAGTTTTAACCTTGGTATTTTCTCCAAGGTTAATTGCAAAGTGAAACCTGAAACAATATTATTGAATATTTCTTATTCTGTTATATTTCCATAGTCCTCTTGTTGGAGAAATAAATTCTGGCCTTTTACCCAGGCAGAGGAAGAACAAGGGGTCCTTCATAATGGTGAGGTCAGAAGCTTTATTATTCATGCATGAGGTCCCAGACCTGGGTAGCCCCTTAAGTCAGAGCACCAGTTTAAAGACCAAGGGTTCCTTTTATACACAACTGTGTCCATATCTGTTACATTGATAGTGACGTGGTTTTTGTGGAGTCTGTGGGTTTGGAGTATGGGGTCCTTGGGGTCACTCTGGGAAAGGTGTCGACAGAGCTCCCCTTTCAGCGACACATGGTGAGTTCCCCAGCAAGTTTCTCCACGAGACAAAGACACTAGTTATATTTAAAGGATAGGTTTATTAAGGCAAGGGAGGGACAGAAGAGTAAAAGACACTTGTATAGACACAAGCGGGCAGGAAGAGCTGCCCCAAAAGGGACAGGTTTGCTGAGAGAAGCCTGTGTGGTTGCAGGCGGGCAGCCTTGAGGAGAGCGGCCTTCGCTGAAGGAGGTCAGTGCAGAGAAGTCCAGGCATGGTGCAGGTCATGGGCAGGCAGGCAGGCAGCTACTGTCCTGCGGAGAGAGAGGGTTAGTAAAAAGAGGCATCTGCATAGACACAGGTGGGCAGTGGGAGTGCTGCCCTGAGCCTGTGCAGAGACTGCACTGATATAGTCCTTTGCTGTTTGGGAGGGGCCGCTCCTTGTGAGCTTTAGGGTTAGTTGCTGATTTTGGATAACTAAGCAGAAAGGGACAGCAGATCTGAAAGGGACAGCAGATTCCACCATGGGCTCACTCTCCATATCTTTACCTGTGGATGTGTGCTCTGATACCTACTTGGATGTTATGTGATCCAGGCATTGGTGCCTGAAGATCTTAGTTTTCACAACATGTAGTCTGTGCCTAAGGATCCTAGTTTCCATAACTGTGTTGACGGTTATGCTAATCTCTTCTACCCCCACCTCCTTGTGAGAGCCACATTTCTGGTCGTGTGGTGCTTCCTTTTGCAGTTTATTTATAATTTTTTTTTCATTTCTGTCCTCCATCAATAGCATCCTTTTTCAGCAGGCACAACCATTTGCTGCAAAGTCCCCCGACAAGACAAGGGGGGCCAGGCAAGGGGGTAAAGATGCAGGCATTTGGGGATGCCCTTTAAGAGATAGGCCAGCGGGTTGACTGCCCAAACTTGTAGATAAGGGTGCTGAGGCCCTGGCCATGCATCCTAAAAGGGAAAGAGCTGTGAGTAAGCAAACTTGTTAATTATGCCTGCATGGGAGTGTTCATTGTGTTACAGGGCAGGGAGAGGCCCCGCAAACCTGCCTGCTCTAAATAGGCTCTGCCATCCACTGCATCAATAGAAAACATGTAAGACTGTAATGGGAAGGAACTTGAATGTTAGGGGGAAAAGGATGTCCCAAAGCTAATTCCATATAGGCTTTGTGGACTCCACCCCCACCCCAGGTCAAAGCCAAAGACACTGGGAACTCCAAATCCCATCACCACCAAAGGGAAGGTGGCTGGGACCTGAGGGTGGGGTTAAGCAGCCAGGTGGATATAAAAGGCAGACACGTGGGCTTTGGGGGCCCCCCATATTTGGCTCTCCGCCAGCTCGCAGCATCCGGCCAGCTCTGAGAGTGACTTTGGGTTTCCAGGTCGTCGGATCAGGTAGGACGCATTAAAGACTTTATTTCCCTATTTTCTCCCTGAGTTGTACATTTTCCTTATTTCCTTTTCTCTTGTAAATAAACCTTTTATTAACCTTTTGTGTGTGTCTGTAGTAGAGTATTCATAAGTCCCTTTAAAGCACGCAGGTGAGGACCCACAGCCAGGAACCCGTTTAATATCGGGGTTGCTCTATAACATGAATACAATTAGTAATCAATACAGAAAAGACAAAGAATATAGTTTCTAAATCAAGCACCCATGTTACCCATCCCCTTGTGGGTAAAAGACCACCCAAATGGTCTTTCGGGCCAGAGCAAGGCCCGGAAGCCTGCCACAAATCTAAAGCATCTTTTAGTGGGGACCCAGAGAAGAGGATCAAAAATAACCAGACAAGATTGGGAGGAAAAGAGAAAATTCAAAATCAAGATAAAAGCTGCCATTGTCACCTCCCATGGGTCTCTCACCCACATCAGTTTCAGGACCAAAAGGTAAGCGCAGTTTCTTCACGTGTCTCTCTGTTCCATGTGCCTCCTCCAGGTCTCCTTATGGCTCCACCCTGCTTCCTTCCTTCCTCAGTCTCTTCTGCAGCTTCTTCTCTTCTCTTTAGCTCCACCCTCCTTTGAGTGGGGCAAGGGAACCTGGACCTTCCCCTTTTCCTGGGCAGCACCCTGTTACAATTGCACCAAGACTGGAAATTCTGCTGGAATCTTTATTATATTCATTGCTCAATAATATATGTTCTCATCACTCTCTTGCATATTGGTTGGGTCTTGTGCTAACCTGTGATTTTTTTAAAGTAATATAGTGTTCCACTAAGTTAGAAAGATCTTCAGTATTCATTACACTGTAATCAAATTATTTTTTAAAAAAATGGGGCTCACACAAGGAGCAGGGGGTAGAAGGGATTAACACAGCCATTGACACAGATCTAGAAACCAAGACCTTAGGCTCCAAAGCCTAGATTACAAAGCAGAAAATCCAACTGGGTATCAGACTGCTGTCTAGAGCACAGGCCCAAGGGTAAAGATATGGAGATTGAGCCCATTGTAGAATCTCCTGTCCCTTTCAGATTCTGCATAGTTATCCAACATCAACAACTAACCAGAAGGCTCACAAGGAGTGACCCCTCCCAAACAGAAAAAGACTATGTCAGTGCAGTCTCTGCACAGGCTGGAGGCAGCAATCCCTCTGCCCACCTGTGACTATGCAGGTGCATCTTTTCACCAATTCTCTTCTCTGCAGGGCAGCAGCCTCCTGCCTGGCCATTACCTGCATCATGCCTGCAGTTCTCTTCATTGACCACTCTCAGTGGAAGCAGCTCTCCTCAAGGCTGCCCGCCTGCAACCATGAAGGTCTCTCTCAGCAAACCTGCCCCTTTCGGGGGGCAGCTCGTCCTTCCCGCTTGTGTCTATGCAAGTGTCCTGTACTCTTCCGTCTCTTGTCTAATAAATCTGTTCTTTAAATATAACTAATGTCTCTGTCTTGTGGAGAAACTCGCCTGGGGAATCTTCGCGTGTCGCTGAAACAGGAACTCTGGTGAAACCTTTCCCAGAGTGAACCCGAGGACCCCACACTCAAACCCACTGACTCCAAAAACTCCATCATTAGCATACCATAGGTTATTAATATGCTTTTTTTTTAAAAAAAATTGATTTATTTATGCATACAAGAACTGGGGTAGAGACCAGAGGTGTGGCGGGTGAGAGGATTCACCAAAGACAGAGTGGGGAGCAGAACAGGCAGATCTACAGAAATCCACTGCTGAGGGGAGCATCAGGTGAGGCAGGAGAGGTCTGCTGTGCCATGTGGGTTGCTCCCTGGCCATGGATTGAACTGGTTCTGCTGCAGCTACAGGTCACTTCATAGTGCTGATGCTTAATCCCTTGCGCCACCAGGGAGGCCCCAGGTTATTTATATTCTAAAGTAAAGAAGCAATAACATCTTTTAAAAAGGTTTTATTCTAGTAAAGTAAATATTTAAAGCTGTAACCCACATAACAATATTATACATGGGATCCATTATAATTTGTGAGACTGAACAGAGTTTCTGAAAGAAAAATGTTTGAGACTTGCGGACCCACTCCCTGGGCCTGGACTCAGGGACACGGTGTGACAAAGGTCTCGGAGCAGGAGAGGAGGGGGCGGCAAAGTCCCAGGTCTCGGGGTGTGGCTGTCTGGGTCTCAGTCCCCAGCGCGGGGTGCAGGGCTGGAAGGTGACTGCTGGGGATTCGCCCTCCCCCCTCAGTTCCACTTCTGGGCTCACAGCCTGGGCGGGTCCTCCTGCCTGGATACTGGTGACTCACCCCAGGGCTCACTCCCCATTGCCTGGAAGTCTCCGGAGCAGCCAATCAGCAGCCCCGCGGCTCCTGTTACAAAGTCCACACTCACCTGCCGGGACTCCGTCTCCCCAGACCCGGAAGAGGCGCGTCCTGGGGGATGGGGGACGCAGCCCTCCTGCTCCTGCTCGCGGTGGCCGCGGCCCCGAGGGAGACCCGGGCGGGTGAGTGCGGGTGGGGAGGGGACAGGGCGCTCCCAGAGGCGGGAGCGAGGGCGTGGGCGGGCGTGGGAAAGGCGCGACCTCGCCGCTGCCCTAGTTGTCCCCCCACCTCGGCCCCGCCGTGTCCTGGCCCCTTTCCGTCCCCCCGAGACCCCAGCCTCCTCTGGCCCCCCCGAGTCCCGGCCATTTTCGTCCCGCAGCCGCTTTTCACTCTCACTCGTCTTTCACCCACTTTCTGTCTCGTGGGCGCCCCCCCGGGACTCGAGCCCCCAAAAGGGAGAAGAATAGCCCGGGTCTCCCCTCCCGTCCCCAGGGTCCCACTCCCTGAGGTATTTCTCCACCGTGATGTCCCGGCCCGGCCTCGGGGAGCCCCGCTTCATCTCCGTGGGCTACGTGGACGACACGCAGTTCGGGCGGTTCGACAGCGACTCCCCAGGCCAGAGCTTGGAGCCGCGGGCGTCCTGGGCGGAGCAGGTGCGGCAGGAGGACCAGGACGACTGGGACTGGAGGACACAGATGCTAAGGGAGGGCACACTGTGGTACCGAGCGCAGCTGGACCTCGTGCGCAGCCTCTACAATCAGAGCGAGACCGGTGAGCTGGCGCGGGTCGGGGCCGGTTCAGCACCCCCATCCCCACGGGCGGGGCGGGGGGTGGGGGAGCTGCTCAGGGTCTCCCCCTCCAGGCTTCTCTGCAACATGCCCAGGAACAGCCCGCGGGACTTTCACCCCCTTTCATTCTGTTTAGTTTATTCCCGGCGGGGGTGGGCGCGGGTGGGGACAGGCTCTCACACCTTCCAGAAGATGTCTGGCTGCGACTTGGAGCCCGACGGGCGCCTCCTTCGCGCGTACAGACAGTTTGCCTACAACGGCGCGGATTACCAGGCCCTGAACGGGGACCTGCGCTCCTGGACCGCGGCGGACACGGCCGCTCAGATCACCCAGCGCCAGTGGGAGGCCCAGGGTGAGGCAGAGAGATTTAGAGGCTTTGTGAAGAACAAGTACTTGAGGTGGCTGTGCACATTCCTGGAGTACGGGAAGGAGACTCCGCAGCGCACAGGTAAGAGGGGCCTGGAGGCCTCCCAGTCCTCCCCTGCCTGGAGTCACTGCGGGAAATGAGTCCTCTCTCTAGTGCCGAGAGGGGGGACTCCCCTGGGTTTCATGTTCTGCCCTAGAGAGACTCCCAGAGACTCCTGCTTCTCCTGAAGGACAGTGAAGGGATCCAGTCTCTCCTGAGAAAGACAGACAGTCCCTGACATCACACGTCACCGGGTCCTTCTGACCAGGGGCCAGTTTGAGAACCACGAGTTTCTCTCAGTCTTGTTTCTGGTCTGAGAACATTTTCAGTTATGTGATTCCTGCTTTTCTGTGTCATTCACCTTCCACCCAGGTCAGGAATAAAAAGTCTGTGTTCCACTCCCTCTGCTTCATCCTACCCTGGGTTCTCATCCTCATTCTAAAACTTTCTAAGGAATAGGAGATTCTCACAGATTCCCCAGATTAGCCTGTTTTTTACATTTTATGCTTCTAGCTGTTACAGGGCAAACCCTAATATAAAATGGGGTTTCCTGACTGTGGGTCCTCACCTGCGCGCTTAAAGGGGACTTATGAATGCTAAACTGCAGACACACACAAAAGGTTGATGAAAGGTTTATTTACACGGGAAGGGGAATGGGAAATGAATAACTCAGGGAGAAAAAGAGGGAGATAAGTTCGTAAATGCATCCTACCCGTTCTGCTGACCTGGAATCCCAGTGACCCACGGAGGTGGCGAAACCTAGCACGCCTCGTGGCCAAGCCAGAGACTCCCGGCCACATGACCAGTTAAATACCCAAACGGAGAGCCTAGTTACTTAACTCCACCCTCAGGTCCTCCCAACCTTCCCTTTGGTGATCGTGGGATTTGTAGTTCCCAGTGTCGTGGGGGTGGAGTCCACAAAGCCTGTATGGAGTTTTCTCAGGACATCCTTCACCCCTGTCATTCCTGTCACACCAGTTGTCTTGTCCATTGTGAGGATGGTCTCATGAGGATTCCTCAGTGTCCATGGAGGAAACACAAAGTGAGTTTTCTGATTTACCACCTCAGATCCCCCAAGGACACCTGTGACCCACCACCCCACCTCTGAGGATGAGGTCACCCTGAGGTGCTGGGCCCTGGACTTCTACCCTGCAAACATCACCCTGACCTGGCAGCGAGATGGGGAGGACCTCACCCAGGAGATGGAGCTGGTGGAGACCAGGCCTGGGGGAGATGGAACCTTCCAGAAGTGGGCGGCTGTGGTGGTGCCTTCTGGAGAGGAGCAGAGATACACGTGCCACGTGCAGCATGAGGGGCTATTGGAGCCCCAAGTCATGAGATGGGGTAAGGAATAGGATATGGGCACTGAGGCTGTTCTCGGGGCCATCAGGAGCCCTTCTGGAGCCCTTCAGAGGCTCAGGATAGGTCTGGGCTCAGGGTGTGATCTTCCCTTCCCTTCCAGTGCCCCCTCAGTCCTCCATCCCCACCGTGGGCATCATTGCTGGCCTGGTTCTCCTTGGAGCTGTGCTCACTGGAGCTGCGGTGGCTGAAGCTGTGATGTGGAGGAAGAAGCGCTGAGGTAGGGAAGGGAGTGGGGGATCTTGTCCACTGAGGGCTTTCACATCCCAGGGAGAACTTGCCCTGCCTGGTTAATGGGAAGTACCATCCACACACACGGGTTTTGCCCAGAGGGCATTTGGTCAAATCCCCCCTCACCTCCTTTCTTCATTTTTCCCAGTCCTGACCTGGGTCTTTAGTTACAGTTCTGGAAACTTCCCTGTTGTGCAGGATTAAAAGATTCCTTTAGGTGTTCTGACTTGATTGCTCCCTGGTCTCACATGATGTTTCTTTCCACAGGAGGACAAGGAGGAAGCTACACTCAGGCTTCAGGTAAGTGTGGATCAAGGGTTTGATCCCTGAGCCCCTGGGGACAGTGTAAATGGACTCCATGGGGGAGTCACCTTTATTGGTCCCTCCTGTGGTCTCATGTCTGACCAGGTTCTGCATGCATGTAAATGTTTATAGCAGAACACCCATAAATGTGAGCCACCCATAGTGACTAACTTCAAAAGACAACAGCATTTAAATAAATAGAACAGGGCTTCCCCAGTGGTGCAGTGGTTGAGCACTGGGCTGTGCCCGAATCTGCCCGCAGCCTCTGCAGCACTGGTTTGATCCCAGGCCGCCAGCGAGGGTCCCACAAGGTGTGCAGATCTCTCCTGCCATGCCTACTGCTCCCCTTAGTAGTGTACTTTGTCAGTCTGCCTGTTCTGCTCCCCGCTCAGGCTCTGGTGAATTATCTCACCCTCCCGCGCTTCTGACTATACCCAGTGCTTGTGTAAATAAATGAATAAATCTTTAAAAAAATAATAATAATAAATAAATAAATAGAACAAAAATAAGTTTTGCAGGAAGATATCTGGGAAATTCTGCCTTAACCTGGTGTTGCAGGTTAACACCATCAGTGATGAGTCAGGTGGACATGATGAGCGCTGATGTGTTGAATGGAAAATGGCCTTGCACCCCTGGGGTCTGCTTTCCCAAACCCACAGTCCCAGTCAAAAAAAAAAAACTAAATTGAGGGACAATAGTCCTGAGCAGTGCTCCTTGATGGAAGCCAAGAGTAGAAAATTTAGGGTGGAGGGGTCACATGACCAGAAAGTGGAGGTGGAGGTAGAAGTGGTTAACATAGTCATTAAACCAACTATATAAATGAAAAATGCTTGGGGCCAGCTGAGATAGCAAGTATCAGATGCTACAAGAAATATAAGGAGGCACAGACCAGAGATGGCATGTGGGGATGGAGCCATTGCAGAGACTCGCTGCTCCTGACAAATGAAGCTTGTCACATCATAAGAATAATTAATTTAAAGACAGATGACAATCCCACAAAAGAATGAAGCCCCCCCAACAAGAACACTACCTCCGTGCCCTTTCTGCCCCAGGATGACGCAGCTTTGCCCCCAAGGCTGCTGCCTGGGGCCTGCAGGCTTCTCCTAACACACCCGCCCACTCCAGGGGCAACAATTCCTGCCTGCTTGTGTCTACACAGACATCTTCTTCTTTCTCTCTGTGTGTGTGTGTGTGTGTGTGTGTGTGTGTGTTTGTGCCCTCATGCCACTGAAAGGAGGACTCTGGTGAAGCTTTTTTTTAGAGGTGACCCAAGAACCCCCACCTGTGACCCCAACACATCTCCTAAACATCACTCCTCACCAATGTCAATGCTATAAAAACAAGAAAAGTTTGAGAAACTGTCATCCAGGCAAACTGGATGGGATTATGGAGCATAAAATGGACAGTAGCAAACACTAATGAAAGTATGGCATTTAGTAATTATGTCAACATTGCTGCATTAGTTGTAAAAAAATACCTGTACTCATGTAGGATGTTAACAAAATGGAAATGGTGTGGGATAAACAAGACCTGTACTACTGCTGCAACTTTTCTGTAAATCTAACAGTGTTCTTTAAATGTTATTTTTTCAAATGCCCTCATTATTTAATAGGCTGTAGAAGGAAAATTTTTTCTCTTTTCCAATTTTCCCAGGTATCGCCATCCAGGGACTGGAGAGAGGGGTTCTGTGAGAAAAGCTGGAAACCTCACACACAGGGCAGGCTCGGGAGTCTCCTTTCCTCTGAGCCCTGCTTCTCTGACTCCTCACAGAGCATCTCACCCCAGGACGCCGCCCTCCAGGACCCCCAACTCTGCCCACCTCAGCCCCCGCCCCGTCCTGGCGGCTCCACCAGAATCCGGAGCAGCGCGGCAGCGCCCCCGTGTGGCCACAGGGCTGAGCACAGGAGACCAGAGCTGCCCTTTCTCCTGCTCAGCCAGGCCCTCCCCAGGCTCGCTGGGCCTCCAGCGGCAGGACAGGGATCTGTGAAAAGGGCACCAGGTCTAGTGACAAGTGACAGGTACTCAAGTTACCTCCCTAGGGAGTCCTAGGGACTCAAGAAAGCACATAGTTTCCAAGTCATAACAACTGGTACTTATAGGAGGAATGTAGAGGATCCAAAGAAGGGATCAGGAAAAAAAAGTAATAATAATAAAGTAAAATTGAAAATGAACATGCAACTGTAACCCAGAGACATTCTGCAGGAGGGGAGAAGGTAGTAGGATCAAAACAAGGGTGGGAAGAGCACGAGGGACCACGGTGACAGTCCACGAGTGAACGGGTGGAGGGAATTTCACGGGGACTATAACCGAGATGAAAATGCGTACATTGTACAAAAATGAAAGATGATGTTAAAAAAAAATAAAAACAACTGGTTCCCACATTCTTTGCAGATACCCCAAATAAAGAGGGTCCTTCAGTTTCTGGAGTCCTTTTTTTTTTATGCAACAACTTTATTGAAAGAAAAGTACAATGAAATATTTTGAAAGCTTAAAAGGGAGATATATTTAAGAAAACTCCCTTCAAGCACACGACAAAATGAAGAGTGGACTCCTGGGTGTTGTACTAAGACGGGGTGCACCCACTCCTCAGTTGTGTCCCAGAAAAGATCAATTTCTGCTGCTTAGAGAGAATGCCTCCTTGTCCTGGATCTTGGCCATGACGGTCTTGATGGTGTCACTGGGCTCCACCTCAAGGGTGACGGTCTTACCCGTCAGGGTCATCAAGATCTGCATCCCAACCTGGAGGTGGAGGACCAGTTGCAGGGTGGACTCCTGATGTTGCAGTCAGGGTGGCCCATCATCCACCTGCTTCCTGGCACAGATCAGCCTCTCCTGGTCATGGGGGAGGCCCTCCTTGTCCTGGATCTTGGCCTTGACAGTCTTGATGGTGTCACTGGGCTCCCCCTCAAGCATGAGGGACTTACCCATCAAGGTCTTCACAAAGATCTGCATTGTCAAGCGGTGGTGACAGCAGTGCATGGAGCACAGCTACAGCTCAGCTCGGGACTCCAGGGTCCGTTACTTCTTCCTGTTTCTGTTTCCAAGGATGAAGTGCCCCCTTCTTGGAATCAACCCTAAATTCTCCCCTAAGACAAGGAGAGGGGTCTCAGAATAGAATCTCAGGATCTACTCTAGACCCTCTGTGTCTTCATGAGTGCCCATGTGACTCCTGTGCTTGCTGAAGTGGGGCTTCTTGGTCTCTGTGCCTTCTGCAAGTGGTGTTGGACTGTGCAATTTACTCTGCTGAATACCAGGGGTCCTAGGGTCCAGTCCTGCTCCTTTCTCTTCTGCAAAGAAAGAAAATGGAAAGAATTACTCCTTGGGTGACCTCATTCATGGTCGAGGGTTATCTATCTCTATCTCATCTCCCAAAGCTATTTCTCAGCTCAGACGATCCACCTGTGCTACAGGCGTGTCTGTCCAACTGCCACCATCTCTGATTTTCTGGTACATCTCAGTTTCCACATTCCTAAATTGAATACCTAGGATGCCATTCCTGAAATGTATTACTTCTAGAACCTTCCTCATATCCCTGCAGGCCCTCCACATCTCTACTCCACAGTCTGGAATACGAGTGTCAATCTTGACCCTCTTTCCACAGTCCAGATGTTCCATTAGGAAATGCTGTCAAATCCATCTCTAAATATACCCACATCCATCACTTCATATTATTTTCCTGCTCACAGTCCAACAAGGCCACCAACCTCTCTGTCCTGGAATCTGCACAGGTTTCGTACACTTTTCTTTCCACCTCTCACTCGTCAACACTTGATTCTTCACAGCAGTCAGACTGAGGCTTCTAAAGAGAAATCTCACAAGTTGATATCTGTCCAGAAAAGTTGTGTAACCCCACAACTTACACAGAGAAAAGTCAAAACCCTTTCAACATGCTTGAGGCCTGCATGGTGTCATTTCTATTACCCTCTGCTCCAGCCAGCTGGCCTCCTTGCTCATCTCAGTCACACAGACACATTCCTGCCTCAGGCATTGGCACTGGAGGTTGTCCTGCCTGATCACAGCTTCCCTGGACAGACTTGTGGACAAGCTTTCCCTCAAATTTTTTCTCAACAATCCTCTAAGTGAAGAGCACTAGGAAGACAGCCATCCTCCCTGTCCCCGCACGCTGACTCTGGTCACCTTCCCACAACCCTTACCCACTGCTAACCAGACACGTCCCTTATTTACTATCACACAGACTCCTGTCTCCCCTTCCCACTAGGACACACGTCCACAGGCCTGCAAGCTGGGGATGTTTTTAGTTCATTTAGGTTTCCTACATGAAAAACAGCCTGTCACATATTTGATACAACAATTATCAGTTGAATGAATGATCAGTGTAGAGCACTTCCCTATTCTAGAAACAGTATCTTTAGTAATGTGGCCTCAGACCACTTGCTATGCACAACCTCTACTCACAGTGACATTAACGCTGCCTCTGCTTCTCTCACAAGCACTACGCTTCCCTCCTCTTCCCCCTTCCTTCTACACACACCACAGACCACAAGCATAATTCTTCAGAAAGGATAATCCTGGTTTTATGGGTCTGACTTTTCAACAGTGAGTGTGATTTTTGACTCATTTAAAAATCCCATAAATTTGGAACCGAGTCAGCACTGGGATAACTACACTTAAGGACAGGGTTGGGGGCAGCTGAGAAAACAGATATCCAACAGGAACTTATCTAAGAGGAGAAATTATGTGATCCTTCTCTCTACTAATACCAGAACTTGATTTGTTAAAAAGAAAAAAATAGGGGCCTCCCTGGTGGCACAAGGGGTTAAGATGCAACCTATGAAGCTATCCACAGCCACTATGGCATGAGTACAATCCCCAGCCAGGGATCTATACACATGGCGCAGCAGACCTCTCCTGACTTTCCCGCTGCTCCCCTCAGCAGTGTATTTCGTCAGTCTTCCTGTTCTGTTCCCCTCTCTTCTCTGGTGAATCCTCTCACCCTCCTGCACATCTGGCCTGTACCCCAGTTCTTGTATAGATAGATAAATCTTTAAAAAAAAAAGTTAGAATCATTCATATGCCTTTCCAACAAAAAAGGAGAGTCCCATGGTGTTCTTGCATCACCTGGGAGGCACTGCATAAATATGTAAATGTAGAGCCAGAGTCCTACGAGAGATAGACTTAAAGATGTGGGTTTTTTTGTATTCCCTTACATCCAAACTCAAGGTTTCTTTTTCCCTTTTAGGACCCTCCAAAATTCACTCCCAACCTGCTCAGCCCCTTGCCATACCCCTGATGGCCTTCTCTCTGGTCTGTGCATTCTGAACCTCTTGGTTAGTTTTGTCTCCCGCAGGTTAAAAACTATAAACCTTCAGCTTGCAGGTATCTCCTGGACAGACCCGCTCAGACAGGACACCGCTGCCCTGCCTTACTTGGCCCCTCCCAGTAGGGAGTAGCCAGATAGATGCTAAGCCTGCCCCCTACCCTGGAGGCTGCTCTGGTACCATGCTCTCTCTGGCAGGACTGAGAAAATCTGAAACCAGGAGAACATGGGGAACAGTAAAGGCTGAGATACAGGCCTATGCATAACTCCATCTAAAAGCTGGGTCTCCTCCCTACATGTGTGGGAGGCTTACAGCATACTGAAAAAGGAACCCAAACTCATATGAACATGACCTTCAAAATAGAAAATTTTTGATTCTGCCTGTGTGCTTAATCCATATGTTGTCAGGAAATGTTCATGTTAGTTATACTGCATCCTATTCCATGTATGGTGTTACTTGTAGTGACTCTTATCTGCAACAATGTATCAATCATATATATTGGGAATCTAGTTCAAATGTCACACTCTTAATACTAAAACAGCCGGTAGCCACATGAACTCCGGGATCGGTGACAAGAGACTCTCCTATCACATTCATACAGGAGTTGCTGCATCACTTAAAACACCACACCAGGGTCTCCCCTGGTGGTGCAGGCGGTTGAGTGCCAGGCTGTGAAGCTGTCCACAGCTTCTGCAGCACCTGTTTGATCCTGGCCAGCGGGGGTGGGTCCCCATTGCGCGGCAGACCTCTTCTGTCATGCCCGCTGCTCCCCTTAGCAGTATATTTCGTCAGTCTGCCTGTTCTGTTCCCCACTCTGTCTCTGGTGAATCCTCTCACCCTCCTGCGCATCTGGCCTTTACCCAGGTTCTTGTATAAATAAATAAATAAAATCTTTAAAAAACAAACAAACAAAAATCACCACACCAAAAGAGTCATACAGGCTATGCCAAAACTAGTTATACTTTGCTTTAAAAACAAAAAGGGAGATATGATGGGAGCCTGCTGCCCTCAAGGGAGCTGGAGTATTTGGAGAGGTCCTGTTTACTCTGCACACTGAGTTCCAGGACGTTAGAAGTTCCGCAAACAAAACTTCTTCCCAGAACTGACTCCTGTTCTCTGAGGATGTGCTGGCTTGTGCACATGTTCCCTGCTAATCAGGAAAGCTTGTTCCAGCAGTAACTTAATAATCTGTAGAAGCACAAACACAATTGCGTGCTGTTTTCTTGTTCTTTGTTCATGTCTTTAATAAAAGCTTGGGCTGGGAGAGTGAGAGGCAGAGCTGCTCTTGACGACACTCTCCCAGCCTCCCCCCGTTGCAAATTCATTTAGAGTCTTTGTTGATGGCAGAAAATTTCATCAGTTGCCCTGTCTGCAGCAGATATTGAAGTCACAAAATGAAGATGAGAAGAAATCCTGCATCACTCAGTCCCCAAAAGGCAACTGGCTCACACTGTGAAGGAAAATGATCATGAACAAAGTTAGGGAAGTGTTGACCTTCTCCATAGTCCACCGCATCCTCAGAATGTCTCCCTCACAGCTTCCCCATCACCTGGTCCCATCCTCTCTGGCCCAGCCCCTCCCACCGCAGGCCTCCACGGTCTCACCTTTAGGGGCTGAGAGAGACACATCAGAGCACTGGAAACTGTCACTTCCTGGGGAAGGACAAAACAGAACCTGATCAGAGCCACGAGAGATGAGACCACAGGAGGGACTGATGTGGGTGACATCCCCAAGGGCTCCATCTACACTGTCCCCAGGGGCTCAGGGACCAAACCCCTGATCTACACTTACCTGCAGCCTGAGTGTAGCTTCCTCCTTGTCCACCTGTGGGAAGAAACATCCTATAAGACCACAAATGAGTCAGGCCATGAAATCCTAAATGAATTCTCTGGGTCACAGGGAAGTTTCCAAAACTGTGCCTGAGGACTCTGGGCAGGACCAGGAGATATGAAGGAAGGAGATGAAGGGCAACTGGAGCAACCACCTCCTAGAGACTGTCCTCAACAGGGACCTTCCCCTCTGACATTTGCTGGGAATCAGGATCCCATGATCAGAATTGTTGGAGATCCCCTAAGGCATAAAGTGCTGAGAAAAGGAAAACATCAAAGTCATGGTTGGAAGACGTGTCAGCACAGGTCCAAAGACTGGCCCGTGTATAGATCGGGATGTTCTTTCTTGTGTCTGCGAAACTATGTCTGGGGGACAAACTAGATTAGAAAATAAACAGAATAACCTGATAGCGCAGAACCTTGGGGTGAATGTGTGCCTGGACAAGGCTAATGCCAAGAGAATGCTCATTGCCTAGTAACTAACCAGGAGGGAGGGGGCAGTTTGTAGCAATAAAAATGAGTTGCACCAGGCACTCAGGAAGCTCCAGCACAAATGAGAGGCCTTGTGTGCCCCGGGTCCCACTTCTCTTAAACTCTATTTTGTGTCTGTCATTTCTTTACTTCCTCAGTTCAATCAGATTCCTCTCTCAACCCTGTTCACCAGAGCTGGACTCTGGCAAGAATGATCAAGGTGAACAAGTGGTGATTCATTTTTATAAGTGGTTTACAAAAGACTGAGGAGTAGCAATCAGCTCCAGACTGGGTAACACAGTATGTGGATGGTACTTCCCATTACCAGGTAGGCCAAGTTCTACCTGGGATTTGAAAGCCCCCAGTAGACAAGACCCCCCACTTCCCTACCTGAGTATTTCTTTTTTTTTTAAGATTTATTTATTTATTTATTTTAAAATATTTATTTATTTATTTATGGAAGAACTGGGGTACAGGCCAGATGTGCGGGAGGGTGAGAGGATTCACCAGAGACAGAGCGGGGAACAGACCAGGCAGATGGACGAAATACACTGCTGAGGGGAGCAGCGGGTGCGACGGGAGAGGTCTGCCGTGCCATGTGGGACCCTCGCCAGCTGGCAGGGATCAAACCGGCGCTGCAGAGGCTATGGACAGCTTCACAGCGTGTCACTCAACCAACTGTGCCACCAGGAGAGGCCCAAGATTTATTTATTTTTATACAAGAGCTGGGGTACAGGCCAGATGCGCAGGAGGGTGAGAGGATTCACCAGAGAAGAGAGGGGAGCAGAACAGGCAGACTGACAAAATACACTGCTGAGGGGAACAGCAGGTGGAACAGCAGAGGTCTGCTATGCCATGTGGGAATCTCCCTGGCTGGCCAGGAATCGAACCCGCACTGCAGAGGCTGCGGACAGCTTCATAGCACTGTGCTCAACCCGCTGCACCACCGAGGAGGCCCTACCTGAGTATTTCTTTTTCCACATCACAGCTGTAGCCACCACAGCGCCAGTGAGCACAGCTCCAAAGAGAACCAGGCCAGCAATGATGCCCACGGTGGGGATGGAGGACTGAGGAGGGGACACTGGAAGGGAAGGGAAGGTGAGACTCTGACCCACAGGCCTCACCCTGTCCCTCTAAAAGTTTCCAGAAGGGCTCCTGATGCCCCTGAGAAGCTCTTTTCCCAAGTTCCCTTCTTACCCCAAGTGAGGACTTGGGGCTCCAGCAGTCCCTCATGTTGCACATGGCATGTGTATCTCTGCTCCTCTCCAGAAGGCACCACCACAGCCGCCCACTTCTGGAAGGTTCCGTCTCCCCCAGGCCTGGTCTCCACCAGCTCTGTCTCCTGGGTTAGGTCCTCCCCATCTTGCTGCCAAGTCAGGGTGATGTCCGCTGGGTAGAAGCCCAGGGCCCAGCACCTCAGGGTGACCTCATCCTCAGAGGTGGGGCGGTGGGTCACATGTGTCTTTGGGGGATCTGAGGAGAAGGGTCAGAACAATTACACTTTGGGTTTTTCCTTCACTGAGACTGAAGCAGCCTCATGTGAACATCCTCAGAATGGACAGGGCAATGGGTTTGGAAGAGGAAGCACAAAACCTATAAACCATCCTGATCAGGGGAGTCTGGGATAATCTCTTTCTTAGAATGGGTAAATCAGGATAAGAGCTCAGGATAGGAAGATGCAGGTCTCTAAGGAGGAGAACACAGACTTATGCTCCTGACATGGGGACTCAAAAAAGCAGGAGCCAGATCTGAAAAATGCTAATTAGACCAAAAACAAGACATAGTAAGAAACTGATGGTCCCCAAGATGGCTGCCAGGTCAAAAGAATCCAGTGAAGGGTGATGTCAGGGATGGCCTCCCCTCCAGCTCAGGAAAGACGATTCCTTAACATCCCTTCAGAAAAAGTAGGGCCCTGTGGGGAGTCTTTCTAGCACAGAACAGGAAACCCAGGAGGTCTCCTCCCTCTCTGACCAAAAAGAGGGCTCTGTTTTTTATTTTTAAGATGTATTTATTTATGCATACAAGACCTGGGGTACAGGCCAGAGGTGGGGGGTGGGGAGGTGAGAGGACTCACCAGAGACACAGTGGGGAACAGATCAGGCAGATTGACTGAAATACACTGCTGAGGGGAGCAGCAGGTGAGACAGGAGAGGTCTGCTGCGCCATGTGGGTGTCCTACCAGCCAGGGATAGAACTCATGCTGCAGAGGCTGCCAAAAGCCACACAGTGCCGTGCTTAACCCCTTGCGCCTCCAGGGAAGCCCCAGAAAGAGGTCTGTGTTCGACCATTACTCTATTTTCCCCGGAGGTGTCAGCCTGAGGGAGATCTGAAGCCACCGAGGCCTTGCAAGGTCCCTCTTACCTGAGCGCTGCAGCGTCTCCCTCCCGATTTCCAGGAATCTGCTCAGCAACTCCACGCACGTGCCCCTGAGGTAGTCCCTGCAGTACCGCAGGTCTCTCTCCCCCTCATACTTGCTCCGGGTGGTGGTCTGAGCCGCCTCATCAGCCTCATCCGCGGGGGTCCAGGAGCGCAGGTCCTCGCTCAGGGCGATGTAATAGGCGCCGTCGTAGGCGAACCGGCTGTACCCGCGGAGGAGGCGCCCCTCGGGCCCCACTTCGCAGCCTTCCATTTTATGGACGGTGTGAGAGCCTGTCCCCGCCCCGTCAGCCTCGACGACCCCCCTCACCCCCACACCTCTCCCCCCACCCCCATACCCCCCGCCCCGGGGAATAAACCTAAACCGAAACTGACCGCAGGGAGCAAAGCCCCGCGGGCTCTTCCCGGGGCGGGCCGGGGCGGGCCCACCTGCCTCAGGGGCGGCTCCGATGCGGGGTCTGGGGTTCCCCGCCCGTCTGCGGGGATGGGGTCGCGCCTTGGCGCTCACCCGCCTCGCTCCGGTTGAAGCGGCCGCGCAGGTCGAGCAGGTTCTCTCGGAACGTCCGTGCGGCGCCCGCTGCTCTCCGCGTCTCCTCCTCCCAGTACCCCGGGCCCAGCTACTCCATCCAGGGCGCCCGCGGCTCCATCCTCGGCCCCGGGGAGTCGCCGTCGAACCGCGCGAACTGCGTGTCGTCCACGGAGCCCACGGCCATGAAGCGGGGCTCCCCGGGGCCGGGCCCGGACATCGCGGTGTAGAAATACCTCAGGGAGTGGGAGCCTGGGGGCGGGAGGGGAGACCCGGGTTGGGGAGACAGGGCGGAGGGGAGGGGGCGAGGGGGGCGCTAAATTGTTCCGGGGCTGCGGGGCTGGAAGGGCCGAGACTCGGGGGGCAAAAGGAGGCGGGGCGGGGAAGGACCGGGACAGGTCGGGTTGATGGGGGACAACGGGGCGGCGACGGCGGAACCGACCCTTTACCGGGTCCAGCGCCGCCGCTGCAGCCACCGGGGGTTCCCTCGCCCCCTCCTCAGCGGCGGTTTCCCTCCCGACCCCACTCACCCGCCCAGGCCTCCGTCGGGGCCAGCGCCCCCAAGAGCAGCAGCAGGAGGTGCGGGGGCCCCATGGTCCTCGCCACCCGGCCCGAGACGCTGGGCGCCCCGGCGGGGCGGGTGGAGACCGCGGTGCCCGGAGCCGCGGGGACGCTGACCGGCTGCTCTGCGCCCTCAGGCCGCGGGGAGAGGGAACTGGGCGGAGCCGCCAGCGTCCAGGCGGGAGGGCCCGACGCCGGCCGTGCAGGGAGAGGTGCCCCTGGGGGGAGGTGGGGAGTCCCCAACAGCCGCCTTCCCCGCCCCACAGGGCCCCGGGACCGAGACCCGAGAGCCTCACCCCACACCTGGGGCTCGCCCCGCCCCCGCCCCCGCCCCCGCCCCCCTTCTGCGCCGAGAGCTTCCTCCAGGCCCGGGGCTGCCTCACCGGGTCTCACACTTTTTCTTTTCAGAGTCTCCGCGCGCGCAGCCGTCCGAGTTCTCAAGGACCGCCAAGGATAGTATTACGTGGACAAACCTATCATTCTTCACCATACCGGGAATAAAACCATTTTAAGCATGTTTTTATTTTATTTAGAAAATTATGAATAACCCATCGCATGTTAACTGCTTTAAAGAGAATCAGCTTTCTGAAAATAAGCATGGTGGTGAGAAGTGACCTTTTACAGTTTATAGTTTACAAGTGTCGTCTCTGTCTCATGGCAGTTGAGTTGTCATATTTTCTTCTGCGTTTAGTCTGTTGTTTTGGTTGGTCAATGAAAAATATACAGCCGTAAAGAAATATGTAGGAGTAGCATTTTATAATCTTTTAGGATAATTGTGAGTATTCAAGTTTGTTACAGCTTTGATAATAAATTGAAACTGTACAATGATAGTTTTTCACATGTTATTTGCCAAGAGAAACCTGATACACTCACTGAATGTTTTCTATTCTGTTATATTAATTCCAGAGACCTCTCTCGCATCTTAATAGATCTTGAACTATTATGATTTTTAAATGTAAAGCATTGTTTCACTAGGTTATATGAATAATGTGTTTATTATTCTAGAATCAAATTTTTAAAATCATATTTGTTGGGCATCCCCTGGTAGCGCAGCGGTTGAGCGCTGGTCTGCGAGCTACCTGCAGCCTCTGCAGCACGGTTTAGATCCCTGGTCGCTGGGGAGGGTCCCACATGGCGAGGAGACCTCTCCTGCAGCACCTGCTGCTCCCCTCAGCAGTGTATTTCGTCAGTCTACCTGTTCGTTCCCTGCTCTGGCTCTGGTGAATCCTCTCACCCTCCTGCGCTTCTGACTGTACCCAGTGCTTGTATAAATAAATAAATGAATCTTTAAAATAAAATAAAATCATATTTGTTTTATATTCCAAACATCTCAAAGGAAAAATTAGTTGATACGGAAAGTTGTAAAGCTTATTTAGGGATGGAACATAATTTTCTAATACCTGGTTTTCCCTTGGAGTTTGCATTTTATCATGGCAAGTAACTACTATCAGTTTACAACTGTCAGTAGATTTTCTTAAAGGAAAACACACATTCAATTTCTAGAAAGTGCCTACAAGTTACCTAAATCTATATAATGAGTTTTGTTATTCATTCCTTCAAATAAAGATGGTGTTGCCTGAAAAATAAGCCTATTTAACCTCATACAAATTGTTTTTCTTGGAACATACTACTTTAGATTGTAGCAGAAGTGATTTATATGTACTGAGCTTACATTGTTTCCAAATTTTTTCTCTCAGGGCTTGAGGAGATGCTTCCCTGCTTTCGTGAGCCTCCCTGTCCAGGACCCCGCAGCTCTTCCTACTGGACAGGGTGTCTCTACCCCTGTCCCTGCCACCTCCCCTTCTGCTCCCTCCTGTGCAGCCTGTAGGGCAAATGATTGTCAGGCTTTTCTGCCTTCCTAACATTAGGATTAATGATGGTGGATACGTGGGGTGGGGTGTGGGCATGCATAGGTGGGCATACCTGGGCTGAGACTCACTTATAAGTGCAGTGTCATGGGGATGCCAGCAGAAGAGCAGCAAGAGGAGAAAAGGGCAGAACCAGCAGAGCAGCAAAGGAGAAGCAGGACCACAAGAGAACGTCAGAGAGCCCAGAAAGAGTGAAGACCCACCAGGGGCTGGGAGGCCTGCTACCTCCCAGCCTCTGGTACCCCTCACTGCCGTGTACTACCTGGTAAAAAGCCCATTAAATTCCCGAAAAGCGGGCCTCCCCGGTGGCTCAGCGGTTGAGCGCTGGGTTGCAAAACTGCCTGCAGCCTCTGTAGCAACAGTTCAATCCCCGGCCGCCGGGCGAGGTTCCCACATGGCACGCAGACCTCTCCTGCTGTGCCCGCTGCTCCCCTCAGTAGTGTACTTCATCAGTCTGCCTGTTCTGCTTGCCACTCTGGCTCTGGTGAATTCTCTCACCCTCCCGTGCTTCTGACTGTACCCAGTGCTTATATAAATAAATAAACAATAAATAAATAAATAAATAAATAAATCTTTAAAAAATATCCCAAAAAGCCACCGCGTCTCCAGGACTCTCCTCCTTCACCCATCCGCATAGGTTCACGGAGATCCTGCACTGGCACTACATTGGCATAGGAGGTATGGAGCCCTCCAAAGGCCTCAGGAGGACCTGAGGAGAAGCTGACCATGAGCCTTTGACAACACGGGAGTCGCCATGACAGCACAGGTGGTGACCAAAGTGTAGGAGCTGCGGGAAGAGCTAAAGATGCTGCAGGAGCACAGGAGAGGGGCCCCAAGAGGACCAGCCCATGACCCCTGAGGCAGCAGAATCTTTGAGGAAGAAAGGAGCACGATTCGGAGGTCCCAGTGTTGATGCAAGGAAAAGACTGATGGATTTAGACTGACAATTCCACCAGAAGGCAGAAGAACCTTAAAATGTTGCCACTGTAATCTCCGCACAGGTCTCTCACCCACGTCTGTTTCCAGTGTCTCTCTCCATGTCCCCCAAGTCTCTGGCACAAGTCTAAGGCAGAGAAGCAATCACAGCTTCTTCACCTGTTTCCAGCTTTGCTGCTATTAGAGCCTGGAAGGGAAGGTGAAGACCTGGAACTGGGCACCTCCCTGAGCTGTGTGCGATGTGGGCAGTTTGTCAGGCCATTTGGCTACTGAAGCTGCTGTTTCGATGCTGATTGTCTGGTTCTGTGCTGGCCCCTCTCAGCAGCTCCAAGAGCATCTCGTGTTGTGTCTTCTACTGCCCTAGTGAGCTGGATACTGGCCTATTGTCTGGCTGCCATAGGCTCCAGGCCATCAGTGGCAGGAAGATGTCCTTTTGGGAGCAATGTCTTTTTTCAGGATAGTGGTTTTTTTCATCTTCAGTGGCAGGTGGGCACCATCTTAGATGCCTTTTGTTCAGGACTTCAAAATACTGGACATTGCTTGGGGTGAGATAAACAGCCCTTGTGGCCTCAGTGATTCTTTGACTTTCCTGTTTGTAAAATAAATCCCGTATTATTGTTCTCTGAACGTGAGTGGTCTTGCAATTGTGCACACGGGTGAAGAGCTCAGACAGTGACCTGTAAACTGTTTGGGCACTATCCTTGGCCGGTTTTAGTGCTTCTTTTGCCCTGTATCATTTTTATTCTGTTCTTTTCCTTTCAGACTTGTCTGGCTGCTTCTACCCCTTTCCTATGGGTCTCCACCAGAAGGTGCCTTAGTCTTATTGTAAGCTTTCAGGCCTCAGCGATCCTGCTCTGGGCCAACCCTGTTTGGCTGGACATTTATACCCAATGGGATGGTAACTTTGGGTGTTTCATTTAGTAACTACTTTAACTATGGTCTTTCTGTTCTCTTTATTGCACACTAAGTGTATTAAAGTCCTCTTCTATTGAGGATCTTATGCATTAGACTATGTCTTTATGCAATTGATGGCAGAACCCACTTAAACGTGCAGGTTTGAAGGTCTGGGGTGCTTCTCATGCAGCCCATTATCATGTCTGATACAGGGCAGCAAGGGACCCTAAATCTGTCCAAGGACACTGCCCAAATAGTTTACCATTCTGAGTTCTTCCCCCATGCACACAATTACAAGACCACTCAGGCTCAGAGGACAGCAATAATGGGGTTTATTTAAAAACCAGGGAAAAACAAAGAGTTACTAAGACCACAAATGGCCATTTACCTCACCTGAAGCATTGTCCAGTGTTTTAAAGTCCTAAACACAAATGTTGCCAAGTAGCGTCTTCCTGCCACTGAGGGCCTGGAGCACGTGGCTGCCA